AGTCAATAGAAAATGGAAAAAACTGGGATCATGACATCCACTTAAAACAAATATTTTGATGCATGTACTCTATTTAGTTGGAAAAAATGATTAAAAATTCAAGACGCAGCAATATAGTTGACTGATGTGTTCTAATAGGTACAGCTGGTTGGCTTTACAGAGGCTGGGAGAGGTCAGCATTGCCTTTAGCGTGAGAACGACGGTAGCACTGCAGTCTTGCTGTTTACAAAAATACAGAAAGTTTCAAGGGGCTCTTTTCCAGATTAGAAATCCTTGGACATATGAGGCAGCAGGTTACGCCTGCTCTCAGCCATCAGGGGAGTGGAAATCCCAAAGATGGGAACAGCCCCAGCTCCTGCTGTTGTCCAGCAGACGGCTGTCTCGGGCCAAGCTGGCATCCACGCTTGGCTTTTGAGCCCATCGTTACCGCTTCATACTTAGAAGACGTGTAGATGTGGTGCTTAGGGACATGATTTAGTGGTGGGATGGCAGTGTTGGGTTAACAGTTGGGCTTGATGATCTTAAAGGTCTTTTCCAACCTAAATGATTCTATGATTCTATTTCATACCTTTACTGCATTTAGGGATTGCCAGTCCAGAGCCCTGGCCCTACACCGATCTACCAACAAGTTCTTTCTGCTTGCTCCAAAGACCTTCCTGCTGTATTTCCAAGAGGACTTCACCTGAACGGAGGCTTGTTACTCTCTGGAAAGCGTAAGGAGTGAAAAATATCAGAGACGCTTTTTGTGGTCAGTGCTGAGGCTCAGAGACGGAGCCTCTCCCCTGCTCGGCAGGGGTGGCCCTGAGATGGGGACAAGGATTGCTCAAAGCCCGTTAGCACGGCTTGCCCGCTCTGGGGACACGCAGCCGGCTCACAGGAGATCAGGAGACCCACAGACCTCAAGAGGGCTCTGAGCCCCCGGCAGGTCTGCCCTGCAGACAGCCCAGGTGCTCCACACCCGCCCTGGTGCCACCATCTGCCCACATCTCCCCATGAGGTCCCACAACCAGCTGTAGGCAGCCTCAGGTCCTCACAGGCAGGACTTGTAGAAAACCCAGGCTCCACCTTGTGTGAAAGAACCGTATGAACATACCAAGCTCTTACCTGGTAAAAATACGACCAGACAACTCTTCAGGACGCAGCTGCTTCAGCACTCACCTCCAAGCAAATCCACACTTAACTGTTGTGATTTGAGGCATGCATTTTACTCTCTGAGCCCACCCAGCTGGGAAACTGGAGGCAACTGGTACTTTGTGTGAGATTCATCTCTGTGTTTGGTCTTCTGAAACTCAAAACGTAGCTGCGAGCAGTGGGAGAAGCAATAGGAAGGCAGAACAACCGCAGGGTTTTAATGAGGACATGAGAAAATTGCCCCTGAAACAAGGCAGTGCTGCAGCTTTGCGCTCTTTGGACTGGCATCAAAGCTGTCGCACTAGTTCGGGTTGAAAGCCAGGAGCTGTAGGTTGGACAAACCCCTGGTATTCTCAGTCTCTGGGAAGATGGGCTGCAGTAACCTCCCAAATGAAATCAGGCAGCTTTTTAATGGCTTGTATTATCAGCAAGCGGCGGCTGAAAGGCAGGCAGAAAGGCATCATTATCCAGGTGAAACCGCCGGGGCCCTCTCCAAGTCCTGCAGTAGAGAAAACTCAGGAAAACCTTTCCGAGCGCAAGCTGAGATACAGCATCTCTTACTACGCCACGTCTAATCCTCCCCTGTTGTAACCAAGAATCCCCGGCCTGACACAACCCTTAGACATTTCTAACGATGCCACTCCATAATTGCCACGGGCTGGAGGCCGAAGGCACCTGCCCTGGCGCAGGGACGGCCCCGCAAGGCGAGAGGGACCCCGAGCACCCTTTCATTTAACATCGCATTGATCATCTTGGAGCTTGCTCTGATTTTGTTTTGCCCGCTGTCGTCGCAGGGATGAGCGTTGCTGGGTCGGGATCGAAGCACAAAGGAGCCATTTTTGGAGGTGGAGGCAGAAGGCAGGACCGGGGCAGGTGCGGAAGGGGGATCTCAACGCACGCCCCTTCCCTGCTCACGCCAAGTCGCCTGCGTGGCCTTGCAGCGAAACCAGCACACCGTGGCTGTTCAAGCTTCTTCCACCGCTGAGGAGCCGGCTGAGGGCGCAGAACTCAAGGGCTGTCGCCGACTCCCCAGAAGGCAGAGCCGGGGCAGCAGCAGGAGAGGGGCTCATTGCGTGCAGGAGGAAGAGAAGCTGCATCCAACGCGTACCTGCTTTTCACCAAGGCGTAAAGCTCTCCTTCCTTGGGCAATTTCTTAGTCCCTCATGCAACATCACAGGAATGTTTCTGGCTATTTGGGGTCCAGAAAGGCTTTGGTGAAGCCCCCGCTGTTGCCAGGGGAGGACAGTCCACACGCAGCAGTGTCTGCTCAAAGGGAAAAGACTCAAAAAGCCCAACAGCCTCAACTACAGCTGTCTTGTTTCAGCGGGGGAAGAACCAAAGGCATGGCTTCTTCTCTTTACCAACAGCCATCCTGCGAGCACATCTTACCTCAGCCGGAAACACAGTACAAACCCCTGCGTTTCTCCACATCCTACAGTCTGTTTTGTGGAATAGGACAGAAATACAGATAAAAATGAGAGCACAGGAGCCAGGCAACGTAGGTGATGAAGGTGGCTCTCAGAACATCTGCGGGAATTGGTTTCAGGTGGGGCCCATTTGTTAAAAAGCTAAAGTTTAGTAATTGTCTAGACCATTGAAGCAGAGTTGTGAAGCTCCAGCTGGATTTTCTGCTGGCATCTAGCCCACAAACCAGCGTACTTTATCAAGGACAGGGAGCAGAATGCAAATGCAGCAGATCCCTCCATTTGGATGCTGCCCTGAAATGCACCTTAATATATAGAAACCCCTCTCGAGTCTGGAAACGTCCCAGCATTTCCAGTACTGCCTACTTCAGGCAACCAGTGCAAAAAACCACCCCACCAGTGCAACTCTCGTGATGGCCAGTGCAAGAACTCCTTGAGCCTGTGGAGGATTAGGAATGGCGCAGAGATAAAACGGTCTCAGGGAGGGATGCAAGAACCAGATGTGCAGAGACTCAGCTCTCCTCCTCCTCCTCGCCCCTCCTAGGTGATGGTGCCTCGAAACCCGCTGGCTGGTGGAAAACCCCCCTGCCGGCTGCCGGCTGGTCCCCCCGCCGTGCAGTTGGAGGGACGGGGCGGCGCCGAGGCAGCGGTGCGCGGAGCAGAGCAGCGGCACAGAGCGAGCTGCGAGAGCGCAGCTCTTCGAGACCCCCTCCTCGGCAAGCCGTCGTCCTCCGGCTCTGGCGTCTCTGCGCCTCCCGCAGCATCCCTGCGTCATTGGGCCAGCGAAAGCTTCCTTCAAAGAAAACACAAAGCACGCAGCTAAAAGATATTCACTTACAGTTTATTTTTGCCTGAAATTATTTCACATCTCTTTGTACACAGCTACAGAACAGTAGTAGTAAACCATTGGTAAAAGCAACAGTGCTAAGGAAAATGTTGGCATAATTTTTTTTTTTTTTTTTTCTTTTTTTTCTTTTTTTTTTTTTCTTCTTCTTCTTTCTTCCCATACTGCATCCACATACAGTTTGGGATTTGAAGGGGAAAAAAAACCCTGGCACACTACATGAGTTAAGACTCATTATTTAAAAAAAAAAAAAGAAAAAGAAAAAAGAAAAGAACATGATTTGGGTAAGGGTTGTCTACGTAGCAACAAAGTTTAAAAAAAAAAACAAAACAACAAAAAAAAAACATTATATATAAAAAATTACATTGGCTGCATGTGAAACCTTGAGGTGCTGAAGGATAAAATAAAGGTGTTAAACAGAGGAAAAACTTCTTTTTGTTTTTTTGTTTGGTTTTGTTTTTTTAAATAAGCAGCTCTGTACAATGAAGGCTCATTATGAAAAAAAAACCCAAAAGTCAACAGCAGAGTTATAAAAGAAACCACAATTTTTTAAAAATCATCTTCTAAGCAATTGTGGAATTTGAAAAAATGTAGCAGTCACATTTACAGACAGGTCAGAGCTATCGGATCGGCAACACCGCTATTTTTTCAGTCTCCCCAGAGGAACATGCAGAACAATGCGTGCACAGAACAGGTAGGGGGGAGGGAGGGGAGGGCGGAGAAGAGGAGGGGACCAAAAAAAAAAAAAAAAATAGAAAAAAGCTGATGCACCAAATGGAGGGAGAGCTTTTTTTTTTTTTCTCTTTTTGAAATATCGGACGTAAACAGAAAACAACTGAGGCAACTTGTAAAATTCTACTAGAGAGTTTTGCAACCCATTGGCAAAAGAAACGACGTCTTTTCCCCATCTCCCCTGTTTGAACCTGTCACGGTTCGAAAGACACAAGAAAGTTTTCAGACTTCGGAAGGAATCGTGACTTTTATTAATCCCTGCACCCCCTCCCCCACAACCACACCCCCCTCGATAGATATTTTCCTTCCTATTTGATAAGGTATGAGGCATTTTGAAATCAAAAAGACAACGCGATGGATGTTGTGACAGAGGGAGTATAATACAGTATGCGTTACTAAAAGGCAATTCTTCAAGGAGGACGTTTCCTTTAAAAAAAAATAATAATAACAACAAGACAGCAAACTAGTTTATACAGTACTATACGCAAAAAAAGGGTAAAAGAATTAACAATTCATAAATAAAAGACAGGTCCCAGACCTGTTATTTGTGAACCATTTTCTTAAATAGGTGCATTATGTAAATCTTATGTACAACAAAATTACTTTGCATAACAACTGCAAGAACACGGGGGGGAGGGGAGGTGAAAATCATATTGGTTTTGGTTTTCTTCTCTTGAGATTTTTATAAGTTTGATTTTCTGGAGCAAAACTGGTGAAAGAGTTCTGACTGGATGGGTGCCAGCCAAGGAAACCCAGGTAAATAATGACAAATATAATTTTTTTTTTTCTCCACACGGCATAAACACAAAGGCAAATAAAACCCACAAAGGTGGTTTTTTTCTTCTTTATAATTCTCTTGCTGCTACAAAGTCTTTTTTTTTTTTTTTTTTTTTTTCTCCTTTTCAACTTAAATTATGTTGATTCCGAAATCACAAAGCTTAAAGAATCCGGCAGGGTCCAGGCTTGCCCGGTTCCCCCCGACACACACAACGCCACTCCTCTACCCCACAACCACAACTCCTACCACCAAGTCCCAGGACTCACTGCTCTACAGGTATTAGCCAAAAGTTATTTTCCGGTTTGTTTTTCTCTGTTTGTTTTAAAAATCTTTTCCTTCTCATGAGAAGCAAAAGAGAAGAGTCGGAGGCAGGGAGAGTTCACCATGCTTCGGTGTAGCGGACATCCACTTCTTTCAGGTTGGGTAGTTTAGCCTGCAGGGAGGGTAGAAGAAGGTCAGAATTAATGACACGCGCTCAAGGACTCAGGAGGAAAGTTCCCGTCAAATCTGTACCATCAGCAAACCGGGAGCATTGATCTATCGGCCACGAACTCCAAGGAAGATGCGCTACGGCCCCAACCCTGCAGAG